ACTTTGCGATCGGGGGCGACAGCTGCGCCACCACAGCGAGCGGGTGCAGTGCTGGGGCAACGCATACAGGCGCTGGTTCCATGCGACCTGGTCGTCCTTGCATCTGTTCAGGCGCCAACTTTCAGTGTGCTTCCTACAAGAATCGCAATAAGGTTAACATCGTCGGTCGGCGAGGTTGGCACATGCCGAAGGACGACTGCCGCCATGGCCAACGCTGACAGTCATCCTTCACCATACAAACGTCACATGCAGTCGCGTCGATGAGTTACACAAGATAGGACTCATGGACTCACTCTAACTTAGCGTTGAGCGGCGCTTTGCGCTATGTGGGGCCGCGAGGACACACACCTGTACTTGGCCGACATGGCGTCATGCCATTGCAACCAGGTAATACTAAACGTGTTGGGAATTGTATGCACATGAAAATGTATTGCTGATTGTATGCTGGCCAGAACTCTAACCAATCGGTCAAATCTGACGAATAATCTGACTTTAGCGCGCCGGATAGCGTCGACGCTAGAATTTAGAGTCCCGCGGTGGGAGAATTAAACGCTAAAATCTGACTGAAAAAATACAGTTTTGGAGTTTTAGCGCCACGAGTGGGGATGCTCTAAACCCCGAAGTAGATCATAACGTACAGCAACCCCTGGCTAGTCCGTACTTATTACTACGTACATAGTACAATACTACACTACTAGTACCCGCATTCCCGGGGGATATTAGTACGTTGATTCTTCTGTAGTTGCTAAAATTTTCCGAGAAAAATAAAGCCTCACACTACAGATAATGACGGAAATAATTGCCAGCTGGTACTCTTAAACCCCACTGAGTAGCAAAACACTGCACCCCTTAGCAGACACTTGTTATCTACTGTACGGTCAACTTTCTATCTCTATCTCATCCCTTTCTATTTTCATGAAAAGGGGGATGCGGGAACAAGACTCAAACACATCACTATGAAGAGTTAAGGGCCCTTGACGCCTTCAAATCATGGTGTACCATTGTCGAGGGGATACATGCATCTTTAGTCAAGTTGTCGCGTGCGAGTCAACCAGGAACTGCATCTGCCACTTCCACCGAATCAAACGGAGTGTTGATGGGTGCGACAGTTACATATTATTATTCTCTTGAACATATTTATGCTGATATTTGTATGAAATATGCGTATTTTTATTCATCCCCATAATTATTTACTTTTTGCAAAACGTAAATAATTATGGGGATGAATTGCGGGAAATGTGCGATGCAGGTCAGCGATTTCTCAATGCATACTGCACAAGAGGTCACGAAACTCTCCATTCCTCATAACAACAACCAAAACTATGTACAACACCTTATTGCATGTCGCCTGAATCAACAGCTGTAGAGAAAGACAACTTCGAACTTGCCAAATTCGTCGTATTTCAAGAACAAGCGTGTACATGCGGGTAAGATGCCTCATGCCAGAGATAGCTATGTATGCGCAGACCATGCTGCATAGGCTGAGCTAGTAATGGTCTATCGAGTAGTACAAGTAATATTGCTGTAAGTATTACACAGCTCGAGAAAAGCGTCCTCAAAGTTCGCCCATTTTCGATATTTGCGCATGCCGAGATGTCGTCCGAGTACCACAAAAACATGCACGTGCGCAAAAAAATATTTGCATCCGCAAAAGTAAGGAAATATCCGGAAATGCTCAGTTTTCATGGCGCGAAGTTTCTGAATGCAAGCACCACCCACACTTGCAGAGAGCGATAGAAAGCGTGTCAGTACAGCAGCCAATGTCCCTCTCCAACAAGTGGGATGACTGCGAAGAAAGTCTAGATATTGCTTCGCCAACCATGAATGCCTCGATTTTGGCCATCCATAACTTCGTGGTATTAGTTTTTATTCTCCAGTTCCCGCATCTCGCAGTATAAAACTATAGTTTGCCTGGGGGGCGATTGTCAATTCCATTGACACTTGGTAAAGGCTACCGGTATGATTGCAGTTTGGGCTTACGCGTTTTAGGCACAAGGAATAGTTGGATGTGCATGGAACGAGCTGAATTAGCGCACGACATGGGTGAATAACTGCATGTTGAGCACTCGACGCTGTATGTGGGTGAGGTAAGAACTCTCCAATTAATAAAGTAGGCAACAACAATCACTCGAAAGGTGGTCTCAGAATTCCGAGCTGCCTAGCCTGATTTACTGTTAATGCTACAGTAGTAGGGGGTTCGGGACGGAACCAGATACAGTACTTCGATTTGGCCAGTGGAAAAGTTATCACGACAGGTACCCAATGCAGCCACACAGGTGGCACTACAGCCTTATGCGGTACAGGTGAGCTATCCAATTTCCAACTTGGTTCAAGTGATAGAATGTACTCGACTCAGAAGCAGAAGTGAAGCAGCCAAATCAGATTTCGGTCGAACTGGACGTGGCTTCAGAGTCGACCACAATGTATACACTACGTAAACCGATACTATGAAATGGTGTACGTTGTTGTGGATCCAAGAGACACATTTGACCTCTCTTACACAATAACCTTTTCGACTCTATAGTTTCAACTATCTGACTGTGGTTCAATGGCATATCTACAGTACTTCGGTGTACAATCCGTAAACTAACGTTGGCTCCTTCACTTTTATTTTGACAACATTCACCGCAATATGAAGTTCTTTCTCCTGGTGGCCTTCACAGCGTTGGCTTTTGCAGCCGACGACGACCGCCGTGGCAAGCGGCTCATTGCCACGTCCGACACGTCGAAAGTATGGCTCACCCCTTTGGAGGTACATCAAGCTCCCTACCCCCCCCCCTTCTTGATTTCAATATCCATCCTACTAACTGTGATCCCCTCTTAGATTTCAGACTTGGAATCTCGATCGATTGGGTTTGTCGATGCGACAAACGGGGACTGGGACAAACTCGCCGCGTTCAAGACCCTCCGCGAAGAAGTGTTGCATTTGACAGCCAAGACATTCCCCTCTGGCCCTGGCTACAAAGCAGTGGTGGGGGCAGCCATCGCCAAAATCAGCACCGGTGACTTGAAGGCATTGCTGACAGAGTTCGTCACCAAGTTTGCCACTCGGTACAAAAATTCTGCGCAAGGAGCGCAGTCCTGTGGCTGGATCTACAACCAAGTCAAGAAGCTCGTGACAAGACCAGACGTGAAGCTCACAGTGCGTCAATTCAAGCACTCGTGGGGGCAATACTCGGTCATTGCACGCGTGGAACCGGCGGGCAGGGCGGCAGCCTCCCAGGACATTGTTATCGCCAGCGCCCACCAAGACTCGATCAACCGTAAAAACAACCAGCAAGCCCCCGGTGCAGACGACGACGGGTCGGGTACAATCACGATTTTGCAGTCGCTCAAGATCTTGTTGGCGACCAAAGAGTGGGTACCCGTGCGCCCGGTCGAGTTTCACTGGTACTCGGCCGAGGAAACGGGGCTACAAGGGTCGGCGGATGTCGTGAAAGCGTACGCGAGTCAAAAGGTCGACGTGTACGCCCAGATGCAGCAGGACATGACGGGCTGGGTCGCCCCCGGCAAACCCCCCGTCGTGAGTTTCATGGACGACAACACCGACCCCGGACTCACGGCGTTCTTGGAGTCGCTAGTTAACGAGTATCTGGCAATTCCTGCCACCCACGACAAGTGCGGGTACGGATGCTCTGACCATGCGTCGTGGAACCGAGCAGGGTACCCAGCGTCAATGCCGTTCGAAACGAACGTTCGAGATCTCAATCCAAACATCCACTCGACAAGGGATTCGTTGGCCACGATTGATTACAACCACATTGCCGAGTTCACCAAGTTGACGGTGTCGTACATTGTTGAGTTGACCCAAGGGTTGCGTTGAGACGTAGGACCATTAGTAGTAGTACTAATAGTAGTGTAGTTACTGACCTTTGTGGTAACGTTACAGTATATCGTACGAATGTTGTGGACGAAGGTTAGGTGGAACTACTACATACTGTACGTGATGGGCAAAAGAACGAGTGGTGCTGTTGTGGTGGACTGGCACTAGATGAGAAAACGGAGGGAATAATAATAATACACACGTGGCGTTGGGTTGCAAATTGAAAGCCCCGGCAATAATATCGGTTGTTGGTTGGAGTACTCCTCATTGAATTACAGTACTACTGTCCTACTACTGTACTACTTCGAGTACTATTGATGCTACGTAGTACTAGTACTACGTAGTACCCCGAAACCCCATACAGATAACGACGGAAATAACTGCCAAGTGGTACTGCGCAGAATCTTGGAATATTAATATGCAAACGCCATCACTTGAAATGTGGATAATTTCACACATTCTAGCCAATGGGTGACTGTTTTCACCACGACGGCACACATGATGTAATGTCAAGTTTGTATCAGCAAATAATAGAAAATGGCAAGTATTCTGTATCACGACCAGTCGTTTGTTCATAATATCGAACACGAGCAAGAAATTAATTGTAAGTGATGTGTACTCGCCGCAGTTACCAAATGCTCAACGATTGACTGTTTAATGTAGATTATAGAACGTTATACGTAAGCTTACTGTTAACTCAAACAATCGTGACAATCGCATCAATAGAATCTGCGCGAGAAGTCGGCAAAGGGTCAATCAGTGTATACTGGTACTTACAAAATTATACTATTAATAGTAAGCTTATTGAAGAGCTTACGCGTACCGTACAGTACCGGTACCGTAATTTTTGGGAAGCTCTTCAGATCATTGAGGCCTCTAATTGGCTAGACAAGGTTTCAGATCGCGGCGATAAGTGGTACCATATCAGATAGGCATGCAATACCTATCCAATTTTTAATATCTACCCGTGGGTACTTGAAGTTAAAATAGCTGGCACCCAAAACAATGGTCATTTGATCTTGTAGTTTGTAAGAGAAATCACGTCGAACATATTTTAACCTCCCTGGGTCGAAATATGTAGCATGCAAATCAATTCAAGTACTGGGTTGTTATTGAGAAGGACAGTAATAGTACCTTTCTACCCGGTAGAAGATCGGATGCAGGTACCGGTACCAGTACTGTACTGTACATCGAATACGTAGTATACGGTGCACAGCGAATACCAGGATATAACAAATGCCGTCAGTTCTGCCAGGAGACGATCAACAAGCGTGCAACATGAGAGCCTAGATTCTTATATCACGGCTTGTGAAAGACATGTTAACGTTGCAGTAATTCCATGTACCCTGTACAGTATGTACCTGTACCTTAGTGCGTGTAATTTCAATGGGTGTGTGTTTTACGGTATTTCGCCCGACGAAAGTGATTTGATATTTTGACTCTGTTCCCCGTCGTCGTCGTCGTTTAGTTTTGATGTCTCCAATTGGTTGAAAGTTGGCCAATCCGACATCATTTCTGTGACACTTCGAAGCAGGTTACAATTAAAATACAGAGTAGTACTCGATTTGCAAAATAATATTGATCATACAAATTGCTAGATATTTGAAGAGTACCACTTGGCAATTATTTCCGTCGTTATCTGTAGTCCGTAGTACTATTAATACTAGTACTACGTAGTACATACTAGTACTTCGAAGTACATGTCATACATGTATTATAGCACAGTACAGGTAGTACTATTAATAGTATATAATTTAAAAAAATCTAAATAACGTTACTCACAGAGTTAGCACTACTACGTGTAGTACCAGTACTCATTTTTAATACAAACAAAATGATTTTTTATTAAAATACACTCATGGTGTTGCATGTTCAACATTAGAGTGATTTTGCTAACTTTGTTACGTGATATTTCCTGTAAAGTTCCACAATAATGGAGCCTTTCGATGATTAGATTGGGAAATTCTTGATGAATATATTCTGTCAGAATTTCTGACTGGGAATACCTTTCCACACACAGTAGCCAATCAAGACACTTGACCATGGTAACAGTAAATTGACCACTTTCGCTTCATGGATGAATGGCATGGTCGGCACCAAACGTAGATAGATGAGCTGTACTGTAGGAAGTGAGCGAGGATAACGTGTAGGTAAGCGGTGGGATTGTGCCCAACGTACACCAGCCCAGAGATACATCATATTCCTGTGTTCATCGATCACATTAAAGCGGTCGTGTTTGTACGTCGGCACGACGCACACTACAGACTATGGGGATGGTGCAAGGTTACAAACTGCACATATTGCACCTGCTGCACTGGGTTGTTGATATGCGTAAAGATTGGGAGGCGTGCACTACCGGTAGGTGCTACAGAAGTGCCGCAACAACAAACACAGCGGTAGTTCTGCTTAACTGTAAATGTGAATTTCCCCTATAGCAAATGCACCTTCCAACAAGAATTTTCAGTGAAATTGTATTGGAAAATTCGTGTGGATTCTTGGTGCAAAATCACTATTGACAGTCAACGTCAGCATCCAGCGACCTTTTCTTATCCGGATGCATTTATAGAGGTAGTATTGATACAAAAAGTCAATGAAACAATTAGTGACCATCAAGTTTAGCAAGAATTGAATGATACAGTGAAAAATGACGTGCATTCCTGCGTTCAGGCGTTTTATCAATCACGTTTTGGGGTTTCATCGAAAAACAATACAATTGTTTGATTCCAAATAAAATTCCATATACAGGCTGGTACAGGCTGGTACAATTTTTATACCATTTCAGGTTACATTGATAGAATTATTCACAAAAGGTCGATGGTTTATGGTGCACGGGACAGTTTAAGGTGCACTCAAAATGGCCAATGGAATTGCTTGATTTTTGGAATAGCCAATCAAATCACTAGAAAAATGAGATCACCAAAAAATAAGCAAAACCAGCATACATATTTTAAGCTTAAACCGTGCACCATAAACCGTCCCACCTATTTTGCCTTGATTTCAGTGGAAATCGAAGTAAATGAACGCTAAGATGAAGCGATTCAAGCCGATTAAATAAGCAGAAGAATGCCCAAACTTTCGGCTTCACGTAGCACTTCTCAGAATTGAAATCACGGACCTAAGAGCCGAATAAGGTGCATTCTACGACGAGTTCACTTTCAAGCGCACCATAAATTGGCCATTTACGTTAACGTTGACTGTGAAGTTAAGTACGTAGGTTTAGGTTATACCTACGGTACCAAGTTTGTGAGTTGGCCCTATACATTCTTGTACTATCACGACGGCACAACACGACATGGCCAACATACTATGAAAGAAATGCACGTAGGAAAAAAAAAAAAAATACATCATTGAATACTACTACTCACTGGGTACTATGCGGTGCGTACTCGAGTCGTACAAGCAGTGGAGGCACCGTTTCCACTCCATACAAGGCGGAGTTTACACGCGAAGGAGACGCTTACGCTCCTCGGACTTGCAATACTTCTTTTGCTGGCGTCGCTTGTATACCACCACAGCCATAAGACCAACGAGGCCAACGACAACGAGCGACCCAATCGTCCATGCCGCAGGGGCATTGCGATACATTGAAGCCGTCAAGAAGGGGGCGACAGTCGGGTCGGTCGAGTTGGTGGAATTGGTATGTGCTGGGGTAATAGGTGCAATCGTAGTAGTGGTGGGTGCTTCGCCACTCGAAGGGGAGCTGGGGATGGGGGTAGGTTCAGGGGTATCCGGGTCTTCGATATTGTCAGGAGCAAGGGTAGTTGTAGTCGTCGTGTTATCAGGCTCAAGACTGGCGGTGGTGGTTGGTTTAATAGTCGTAGGTTCCGGTGTGGTGGGTTCCGGCGTGGGGGCTAACGTGGGTGTGGAGGTGGTGGTGGGTTCGGGGGTGTCATCACCGTTGCCGATATTGTCGGGTGCAAGGGTAGTGGTGGTGGTCACTGGTTCAGGACTTGGCGTGGTAGTTGGTTCAGTGCTCGTAGTGGCGTTGGAAGGGGGTGCAGTGGTGGTGGTAGGTGCAGCGGTAGGGGTGGGGGTAGGTTCCGGGGTGTCAGGGTCGTCGATATTGTCAGGGGCAAGGGTAGTAGTTGTGGCTGTGATATTCACAGCCTCGGGACTCGCTGTGGTAGTTGGTTCAATGGTTGATGGCTCAACTGTGGTTGGCTCAGGTGTGGGGGCTAACGTAGAGGTTGAATTGGGGAACACTTCATCTGCCGACCCCCCAGACGACATCAAAACCACAGCAAATGCAACGGCAATGGCGGACAACTTCATTATGAGTAGTATCACGTAACCAAGTCAAATTGCACAATGGACATATATAGTCAGTCTATGTCATAACTATGCAATCTCAGCACTCACAGATGCTTGAAAATTCGAACCTCTGTCAATCTCGTGCTTCGAAATCTTTACAGTTTCTGCATGACGATTGACGATTTGCTAGGTCGATGTGCAACCCCTTTTGCTGTGCCCAGTTACGAGTAAAATATCGCTTACTTTTCGCCGAAGAACACGCGGCTTTCCGCTGCTTTGCTTCTCTTGAAGCTGTGTCGACAGTGGTGACTGTCTACTACCTGGTCGCGAGATTTGACTACATTAGACAATAGTTAGTTACCTAAGGGACTTTTGTAATCGAACTATTCAAAATGCCTTTGCCTTCGTGTCGACTAAAAAAATACTACCCTAGATTGGTTATGGGAACGACTTGAACAGTTAGCTCTACATATAAGTATGCAGCATATACAGTACGACTACTACTGTAACGGCGGTATAGTACAGCAGTATTCTCATATCCTTTCGACATATACAGTTCCATCAGAGGTTCCGTTGTAAAATCGCTTGACCAGTGATCGTTCCACGGAACAGAGCTCGATTTGCACAGACGCGGCATAGATGCTTTGTAGTGATATTATTCTAAAGTTAACATCGAGCTCATTTACGGACGCTAAACGCACGAGGAAGTCCCTTGATCATGCATACTATACGTATATCCTTAGCGTGTATGTTGAATAACAAACTCACTGTACCTTGTAGTAACGTTATTGGCATCATTATCACAATCCGTGCCAATTTCGAATGATCAAGACAGGCTCGCAGTCATTATGCATGATACAGTTGCACAAACGATTATCATCCGGATATCTCAAAACAACAGACGACTATCATCCGGATATCTTGCAATGAGCTTGGTTATGGGGGAGATCGCTAGCTAAGCCTATGCATTTCGGTCAGTTTTTTTACCTGCACAAGCACCTTCGTACACGTAGTTGTGTGGACTTACCCACCAAAATCGAGTCAAATGTGGAAGGTTGACGTTCAAACGCAGTTGTTGTGATGAATGTACTGGACTGTCGTAGGCTACATAGTACATCGCTGGAATTTGAATGGCTGGTATGCACGATATATATACACGTGGCGTACGACTAGTATTTAGCAGACCTAATTGTTGACATTTGTAGTACGCCGTCTTCAACATCAAGGACTACGGGATACTAACTAGTACTGTACTACATGACATTTGAGTTTGCGTATGTGCTAGACGTAGCCTGGTTAAATAGTACTAATAGTAGGAGGTACTAAGTGTAGTGGGACCACAAGATTATTGACGGTGCTGAGTTTACTGCTAGTTTCTGACCAAATCAGGATCGAGATGAGATCTTCGGAGATCGACTGCACTTTTGATTGAAATTTTGAGCTAGCCAATCACAGCCTGACAACAATAGTGTTGACAGTGGTCAAGAGCATCCACGACCCTTTTTGTCCTTGTATTTGAGGTTCTAAGAAAAAATATATGAAATTCAGTAGGCATTCGTAGTTTTCCTCCGTCTATTCTGCCTTTAAAATACCTTTATTCACTATATTTTTCGAGTAATGGTCGAAATACCTTTCAAATGTCGCATGAAAAACTCGCATAACGTTATAGATTGTAATCTTGAGTTATAACGGCTACACAATTATTTAAAATGGTCAAATCCAATACAGAACTTAAGTGTAGAAGAATGCGTCATTAAAATGAAAACTGTAAGAACATATTATTATTTCTAATAAAATTGAAAGGGTCGTGGCCACTGTGAAATCCATTCACCAACCTTGCGACCTCTGAAGTTCGTGGATATTTTTCATGGGGGCTTTGTAGCCTGTGACGAACATCTCACGATTCCCTTGCTTTGAACTCATGCCCAAGCGTGCGATATGTTAACGGCGTTCAAACGATAGTACTGTAGTTATGGTAAGAAGTCATTAGAAACCCATTGGGCCTTGAAATAGCTCTCTCCCATTTACTTTGGAGACTTGGAAGTGGCCCTCACAACTTTCACTTGTCCGACGAACAAGGGGATTGAGTGCCAGGACGCCACGTCATGTTCTATTTCCATCAACTTCAACCGCGCCAGATCAAATTCAAGCTGTCCCCTACCGGTATGTCGGAGAATAAAATGCATAGTTATCTACTTCGAATTCATACAATAATAAAGTATAAATCGAGTTGTTACATTTGTAAACTTCAATACAGTATACATATATGCGGTTTCAATGTCACTTATATCTGCCTCTCTCGACAATGCCCACCAATAAGGACAACGTATTATTGTCAAGTCGCTCAATCGAATGAGAAGCACCAAATCGGCGGACAATCGATTGACCAATCAAAACCCAGAACACTAATCAAGGTCACTCCATAATATTGACGATTCAGCACAAAAGTCCAAATTTTGGACCAATTTACCCAAAATTTGGACTTTTAATCGCCAATATCCATCGATCGATTATTTGTACTGAAGTTTATGACAATAAAACAATATTTTGCCCGTATACGTTGAGGCTGAATTTTTACTATTATCTATTTTTATGTAATAGGTGCTTTTCATTGGCTATACTTCATGTAAACTTCGCTGGGCCATCGTTGTAATAACTATTATTAGTAATAATACGTGTTAATAGTACTGTATGTAGTATTATTAAAGATATGTTTGATTGACACTATCCTATTGTCAAATCGATTCGAATCGATTAATGAACCGCCTAAGCCAATGAAATCATGTTCTGGTGAATTTCTGCCAATCCAATGCACTGATTTAGTGCTCTGAACAATTACCCTTATGCTAATAGTACGAAGTAATTAGTGTATTAGTGTATACTTCGTATATACTAAACATTGTATAGTACTACGTAGTATAGTTTGTACAAGCTTCAATATGGCGTCGAAAGCGATTGGCTATTTGTCTAATTTGAGTGCACAGCGAAATAGTATATTTGTTTATGATACATATGAACAATGTTTATAGATACGATGTCGTTCGTCGGTGGTTAACTCGAAACAATCTGATCGAGTCTTCCAGGCGTGCCATATGCATGTCCTGGAGGCTTTCATGGCGCTTCATCCATGCGCGAGACCTGCGAACACATTGAATGATGGACATGTGCGAAACCAATATATACCCCGAGGTAGTATCACTGAGGCAGTCTCGCTCAGGTAAACTGGCTGGCAATGAAGGCCCAAATAATATACCCTATCGATAACTCATTGAACCCAACACATGTCCCCATGTATATATGTATGTACACTGTACCTCGGTGGTGTGGCTAATGACATTGAACAGCGACGGCCCGCCATCTTGTTCGAGGTACCCGCAAGAAATCCCCCGAGGCTGAATAGCATACACCCCAACAGACGACGCGTTGTGTTGTCGCTTAAAGGAGAGCCTACCATGATGGATTGAGCAAGGTAGAGATGGGTGAAGGGGCATTGCATAATACCGGACGAAGCAAGCTGGAAAGTACCCGAGCTTGATGCGAAACTCGCGATTCAATGGCAACCTGACGTCAGTTTTGACTGAACAAGTCGTTAGTGTACGTCATGCTTGCAGTACATAGTCATAGGGACCCTCACCATCAGTACCGTACCTGTGATGTACTCGCTCCGCTTGTCGTCCACTGCCAAACTGATGTCGACGGTCTGTGCGCTCTTGTTGAGTATCAGGATTTCTCCCACGAGTGCTTTGGTATCTCTACATAAAGCGCTATTGACAGAGGTAGAGCAGCGGTGGGATGCACATACAATCGGGCGACCAAGACTTCGACGGGTTTGGCGAACGACGCCCAGTACGTTTTCCGCGTGTAGGCGGCGAGGTTTCCCACGGGATGCTCAAAGGACGACCCTGTGGCTACTCCGTGGTGCCACACATATCGTCAGACTACCTTCATGCACCCTATCATGCTCCACGGGCGTCGTACCTCGACAGATCGTAAACCCGATCACAGCTTCCTGCATGTGTATGTGCCTCCTCAACGGCGAAATCGAATTTCAAAACATTATCCGGATTATGTCGGATATCCGGATACCTTCCCGCCTGTACTATTAATATTAATAGTATTGTCAATTTAGGGTGCGTCTGGTAACCGGAAATATTGCAATATTCAGGCCCAAAACGCCATTTTGGGGCCGAATTCAACATATCTGATCAAAATTGAAACATGTCTTGCTGGAAGAGGTTTAACCCAAATCCAATAATTCCACGTGGGATTTACTCGTCAAAGAGGTCCAAAACGCCATATTACAAAATGGACCTTTTACCTCCATTTTGAAAATGGCATTTTGGGTTAATCCCATTTTCCGAGAAAATGGAATAATATTTTTGAAATGTTACCAGACGTAACAGTTTTCGACTAGTACATACTAACCATCGTATTTATATAGGGGGCGATGAATAATGGAAATCATATTCTCGTATACTCAGGAGTACTGTATGTACTAGTACAATAGTAGTATTGTGACACTTATTTATCACCCCCTTCAAAATACGCTCACAATATCTACCTGTACCTTATAGGCTGAATTTGTTTGTATAAATACTTTATTTGACTTGTATTTGGTATGATCAATTAAATTGGATTTATTTTATTCTCCAAAACCCGTGACAAAAAGTCATAGGGTAGGGGTACTATTAATAGTACTGCGAGTAAGAACTATTCATAGACCTAGAACTACTACGTAGTAGTATATCGACACCATATTTGCAGCGGGGTCTATAAATAAGCCTCATCAGAACGAATTTCGCTTTTTCGGAACACCGTTGTAACGGCAAAAGTTCCGATAACGTTATGCCGCCAACTGAAGTTCTTGATGCTGCCGCCGACAGTGTCGTGGACGACAGCGCGGTTACAGATGATACATCCCCTACACTGTCCATGGATAGCGCGGATGAGTCCAATGTCCTGACCATCCATGAAGCCATTCAGCGGGTCGGGTACGGCACGTTTCAGAAGCGTCTGCTGCTCGTGTCGGGGCTCATGTTCATGGCGGTACGTACGTACTCTTCCATGTCGGTCGTCGCTCTGTCTTCATACTCGTCATGTCAGGACGCGGTCGAGGTGATGCTCTTGAGTTTCCTGCAAGTGCTCGTCAAGGACGAATGGCACCTCACGTCCACGCAACAAGCCGGGATCACCGCCGCCGTCTTCGCCGGCGAACTGCCTGGCGCGCTGTTCTGGGGCTTCTTCGCCGACAAGTATGGACGTCGCCTCGGGTTCCTCCTCAGTGCCTTGTGCATCGCCGTGTTTGGCATTTGGTCGGCGTTCGTGCCGACTGTGTGGTGGCTCATGGCGTGTCGCGCCATGGTGGGCTTTGGCGTGTCTGGTAATCGTTCGCTGTTCAGTGTACCGTCCACTGTACTGTATACTCTTAGGCGCGCTCGTGCCATTTGATCTGATGGCCGAATTCTTGCCAGACTCGGAGCGGGCGCGGGTCCTGCTGTTATTTCAGCTGTATTGGACTGTAGGCATTGCGTTCGTAGCGATACTGGCGTGGGTGGTCATTGAATCGTGGGGCTGGCGGTGGCTCACAGGTCATGTTATGGCCACGACACTAGTGGTCTTATGCTGGTTTTATGCTGGTTTTATCAAACATAAGCATATCTGGACCGCGGCATGTTAAGACCAAGTTTGAGATTCTTCGGCCTTTTATATAAACATGGGGTTCCGGATAGGTTTATGTGCGACACCGTTGGTGTTGGTACTGTGCTCGTTTCCGTGGATGCCAGAGTCCCCGAAATGGCTGGTCGATCAACATCGATACGACGAAGCGATTCATGTACTTGAAGCGACCGCCAAGCTCAACGGCACCACTTTACCGTACAATGTACGCATCCGCCCCCTGGAATCCAAAGGTGTAAAGGAGCAGGGTCGAGTGATTGGGGAGATTTGCAGTCGCAAGCTGTGGCGAGCTAGCACCATGTTATTTCTCACTTGGCTTGGGTTTGGCCTGAGTTATTATGGGTACGAACTACTACTATATGTACTGTGTGCATGAATCCAAATAATATATATATATATTGGACTTTTGGATTTAGCTTTTGATCCCATGGAAGATTGTACACAAACTATACTATAGAAAATAGAGGATACTTCTGATTGGAGGAACTGGGCTCAAGACTGTTTGATTGGTTGAAATTCGACAGAACGTGATTTGATTGGCTTGATTTATTATATAACGATGACGTTCGTTCATAGTAGCAGGGTCTCATAAACTATTTCTAATATTTCGTATGTCTAAACTGCTGATCTATATAAATATATATTTATATTTATAGAATCATCTTGCTGTTTCCACGTATCTTCAAGCCGGAAGACGGCCAAACGTTCAATTACACGTGCATCTTCCTCGCGGCCGTCGCCGAAGTGCTCGGGGTCTTTCTAACCATGACCATTGTCGATACAGTACGCTATATATATATATATATATTCTTCCAAAACGCCCCTTTTAAACTAAATTCTCCTATTAAACAATATAGGTTGGACGACGGCAGACCCAAATCGCATTGTACTTCGTGTGTGCTTTAGCTGTGTTTCTATCGGCTCTGGACTTGGATTTGGTCTCGTTAACGATCTTAGCGATGGCCGCACGGGCTTTTATTATGGGCGCATCTAGTACTACTTGGCTGGCGACGCCCGAAGCCTTCCCTACACATGGTACTACTAGTAGTAGTAGTAGTAGAACTAGTACTAGTACAGCTATACTACTTCAATATCTAGTACAAGTTCAATGATGTACTATGGATAGTCTGACTCACACAACAGGGATTGTTTGTCTATTGATTAACAACAGGGATTGTTTGTCTATTGATTAACAACAGGGATTGTTTGTCTATTGATTGAAATGAATAGTTATATTATTAATAGTATATGACAGACAGTCTTTTTTGTTTGTCTATTGATTGAAATGAATAGTTATATTATTAATAGTATATGACAGACAGTCTTTTTTGTTTGTCTATTGATTGAAATGAATAGTTATATTATTAATAGTATA